TGTTCTCCATGATTGGTTGCCAAGTTGAAGGAACCGAATTTTCTCCACTATTTAATCTGGATAAAAAAGATAAATTTGTCTTAATGAACACTAACTCAGTTGGAATTGGAATTCATCCCTTCTGAATTTATGGAAGCTACACATCAATGTGACTAACATAACTAAACTGGGACAAATAATTTTCAGTGTTTGATTTCGATATTTTGAGTCTGTTGGCTATCTACTGGCATATTATTGTCAAGTAATATTTTGATTGTTTTTAACATCAACTGATCTACGTTGCCATGGAGCATTGTTCAGTATGACATGTCAACTGGTGTATTTGTGTTTTGCTCTCGTGATTTCCCCAGGGGAATAATTGTTTATTAAAGCAACAAGTAGCAGTTGTAAAAAATAAATAAAAATCCCTTAAATTACTGACAACTATTTTTTAACTACAGATTAAGCTTTGTGTCTTTTTCCATTGCAAATGTTCATATTATCTCCACTGTTTAGTTCGACTAGTTCAAACCTTTATATCTAGAACTCCCTGCTGCATTTATGGAGTTAAATTATGGAGAAGTGGGACCTAATCAGTTAGGGTGGTTTTGTGGATGTTATTTTATGACAACATCCATTCCCACCTTATATATATTTGTGTTTGTTTGTGTGTGTGTGTGTGTATATATATATATAATGTAAACAAACCAAAATTGACATCATTTTCTACCTTAGGATCCTTTCAAGCAACACTTTTTCAAAGGCAATTGTTGGGGAAATACAAAGCAATCAAGACGCAGCAATAGAGGAGGGAAAGTTGGAATGTGATTAAAATAAATTTTAATTGTAAATAATTAATAAAATAATTAACAAGTACCCCGAGTATGAAATGGAAAAAGAAACTTATAATCCCTCGATCAATCTTAAGAAGCACATGAAATGCTCCTTTTGTATACATAGGCTCAGCTGGTAAAATTTTATATTCACAGTTTCAAGAACTCGGAGGTGGTAAACCAAGCAAGCACTATGTAGAATAGAAAAACATGTGTCCTCAAATTCAGCTGCACAGTCAGGACTGTCCAGCAAATGCTGCCCAATCGACAAATCATGGACTGCTTGAGTAGTTCTTAAAACTTGGCTTCAACTACTTGAATGCAAATAGGCAGGAACATGTGAAATCTACGTTTCCAACCTCTGATTGGTTCATCCTATTTATGCCACTTCACATTGGCATTTGAATTTGTATACAACTAAATTTTTTTGAAAATAGAACAAACGATCCTTACTGAAAGAAGGGAACACAGATTCTGTTTGAAACACAGCGCACAACTTAACAGCATTGTAACATGAAATGATACAAGCTGAAATTCTGTCAGACAACAGCTGACACTTCCTGCCAAGCCAAGGCAACTTTAAATCATCATCATCATCATCATCATCATCTTGCGGCCTCAGCTGAGATTGAACTCACTACACCTTTCCAGTATTCCTTATCTGTCATAGCTAATACGTTGATTGGTGTAGTTCATAATCTTGTCAAATAGCTGAATTCTTGATGCTTCGCTAGGGCTATCAAGGGTGTTTTTATCGTGACACCATCACTAAATGGATTGCCAACCAAGGCTCAAAGAGACTCCATTCACCCTCTGCAGGTTTTGAATTCAGAGTTTTCCTTCTCCTAGACTGGTTGCCATCCAAGGCTATAGAACCCAGTCTGTCCTGCTATTTACCCATAGCTGAAGGGAGAAGAAGAGGATTCACACCTTTCCCAAGGGTATGAGCACGTAAGTGAATGTAATGGATTCAACTGGAATTCGAACTTGGCTCTCCGATTCCTCAATCCAAGCCGCTATCCATAAATAAATAGGGCACCAACTAGGTCCCAAAACCACTGGTTCCGTAAAACGTTTGATTTTACTATCTATAACACATTTGATGATATTGATGAGATATCGATTACTTTCAAAAATTTTCTGGATACTAGCAATTTCTTCATCTAACAATTATTTACAATTAAAATTTTTATTTTAATCACATTCCAACTTTCCCTCCTCTTTTGTTATTATTGCTGTGTCTTGATTGCTTTGTATTTCACCAATGATTGCCTTTGAAAAAAAGTGTTGCTTGAAAGGATCCTAAGGTAGAAAATGATGTCAATTTTGTTTAAATTTATGTTCTATTTCTGTGGGTACAAGTCTCTTTTCATATATATATATATATATATTCTCCTTAAGAATATATTTTTCTCATAGTCTCTAATACTCAGTAATCCCTTGCATCTTTATTGCCTTGTTTGGGGTGAAATGATTAATATATATATATATATATATATATATACAGGGTGTTTCAAAAAATTTGATATCCTTTGAGATGTAAATATCACAGAAAGTACATGATTAAGGCAAATGAAATTAAAAAGTATTAATGTTGAAGATCATAAGATTTATTCTTCCAAATCTGAATGAGAAATTCAAAAGCATGTGGATTATGTGAACACACAAAACGCCTTTTCTCTTCTAGTAAATAGCATTTTTATACCTGTAAAGATAAAGATTAAAGAACATAAAAATACAAATAAGAAAAACATAAAGACATAAAAACATAAAACAAACATTAAACATAAAGATGCCATTAAAATTTGAAGGAGATCTAACAAAGTTATTAGATTGCGAAATGATATCAAATTTTTGAAACACCCTGTATATATATATATATATATATATACACACACACACACACACACACACATATATATATATATATATATATATATATATATATTAATCATTTCACTCCAAGCAAGGCAATAAAGATGCAAGGGGTTACTGAGTATTAGAGACGATGAGAAAAATATATTCTTAAGGAGAGAAGACAATAAAAGGACCAGAATTAAGAAGACAGAAGATAACAATTGACATTGCAATCAAATTCTTGAAGATCAAAGTTGACTTGGAAGCCAAAAACTGAAAGAGAGTTCCACATGTGAGAAGTGTGATAGAAGAAACTTTTAGCATAGAATTACGGTTACATTTAGTCATTTCAATTGTAAATTGATAAGACCTTGTCACCAATCTAGTACTGCGCTTAAATTCATGAACTCTAGGTACCATAGTGGAAAGTTCATCAGAACAATTACCATAACACAATATAAGAAGAAGAAGGATAAGGTGTAAGTTGTAGTTTCAAGAGTTCCTGTGTAAAAGTCCTGATGCATATTAGAGTGAGAGTGAAAAAGAGTCCAAGAGGAAGTAATTGTGTGTGTGTATCCAAAGGTAGTGGCTGCCTGCTTAACAATGTGAGTGGAGGAAGACATGAGTTTTCAATGAATCAGCAGGCTACTTAAAAAGTGTGAAGGAAGGGGTATATGTTTTCAATGCAGCAGAATGGTTTAACCATCTCAGATCGCCAACTGGTCATATTTTGGCTTTGGTTATATTACGATGACTGCAGCATCACAGAATGAGCAAAATTCATTTATCAATTCTGGTTTTGGTTGATTTTCCATCTAGTTAAATAGATCTCTAGAGATCTGTTTCAAAAGTGCCACTTTGATTCTCATTGGTTCACAGCCTTATACCCTGGTTGTGAAAGCTTTTTGATTGGCTGGTTGAACTATGACTTTGTGGCCTGGCGATTCTGAATATCCATCTATTTTTAGAGATAGTAAAATTTTGGTCTCCTTATTATTTATTTTTGTTTATTTCTCTATCTCTAAAAAAAAAAGCCCCCATTTCTTCTATAGAAGAAATTCTACTTGATCATCTTTTTCCCCAGGAACTGCCACTTTGTGGAAGAATCTCCCGCATAGATGCTTCCCTATACATTTCAAGTCAAGGGACATTTGTTATCTATCCTCCTTATCCTTCACTCATTTTACCTCCTCTTACATTCATATCATACACATTGTTCTGTAACCGTCTACTTTGAGTGGCTCTCAAGTCTTGCATTGAGCAAACTTTAGTTAAAATATTAAGAAACTAATTGTTAGTCATATGGCATTGTAATTAAGTTTTGCTATATTATTTTCAAGAATCAATTGTACTGAACATTAGAAATATCTAGATTACACATTCTTTTATACTTGATTCCTGGTGTGATGATTAACTACATCCAGCAGCAAGGCCTCTGTTAAGGAGATCAACAGTTTTAAGAAACATGGAACTACCTCTTAATTGTTGTTGTTCCCAGGTCCCTGCTGACCCAGTAGTAGTGTATCATCTTTTAGTGAACCCTGAAATAAAAATCAGAACACTAAGAAAGCATAAAATGTTTATAGTAAAATACCAGCAATACATTTTTATGAAAAAAAAAATATTACCTACAATATATTTCATAACAAAATAACCAGCAATAAATTTCCATAGCAAAATTACCAGCAATACATTTTCATAGCAAAATAACCAGCAATACATTTCCATAGCAAAATTACCTGCAAATACATTTCCATAGCAAAATTACCTGCAAATACATTTCCATAGCAAAATTACCAGCAATACATTTCCATAGCAAAATTACCAGCAATACATTTCCATAGCAAAATGGACCTACATTATATCTTTATAGTAAACTGACCAGCAAGGCATTTCATAGCAAAATCACCAACTGTATATTTTTATACTAAAATTACCAGCAATACATTTTTATATCAACATTTATAAATTGACTTTTATCTCAGTATTTTATAAAATGACAAATAATACATTTTATAGAAAAATGACCTACAATACATTTTTATAGCAATATAAAAACTAAAAAAGTATAAAAATACATTTCTATAAAAAAAAAATTACCAACAATACATTTTTGTAGTGAAATTACCAGCAATATATTTTTTAAAAAATTACTAACAATACATTTTATTATCTACAAACTATATATCTATAAAACATACATTTACCTTGAAAGTATAGAATTATGTACAAAATATTTGTAGTTGAAGCCATAAAATTGTTTACAAGATATTTAGATTTCAGCATTAAATAACTTGTAGAGGTTGATATGCCTCTAAACAAAATCAACTTATGTCCATATCATGTTGAAACACCAGTTTTTGTATGATCACCAAAGTTAAGCAACGTTGAGCTTGGTCCGTACCTAGGTGGGTGACCACCTGGAAATATCAGGTGCATTAAGCAGGGGATGTGTGGTTAGTGTAACAGATAAAAGCTTAGAATTGTAAATCGGAGAGATGACTTCAAATTCCAGTTGGTTTTACTATATTTGCTTGTGCACAAATACCCTTGGGAAAGGTATGAATTCACCTCTTCTCCCCTTGCCAGCTATGTGCTAATTAGTATTATCTTCACAAAAAAGTTCTACAACCTGAAAAAAATTTCCGACTTTAAATAACCTGCAAAAGGTTGATAAGCCATAAGACACAAAACAAATCAACTAACATAACCTATTATTTAGATTAAATAACTTAACTTTAATTCATTGATCACTAATTTTATTTTGCAGACATAAATTTTCACAGAAAAATTGGAAAAATTTTTTCAATAAAATTAGTAGCAACAGATACTTCTAGAATCAGGATTGTCCCATGGGACAATAGCCTAGTAGATTAAAGCACTGTTTCATGAATTTGGTAGCATAGCAATTATGAGTTCAATCACTGGGTTGGGAAGTACAGACTTAGTGAAAATAGGGTGAGCAATATCTAAGCAGTACTCAATATGAACAAGATATCCCTAGACATGGACAGTGGAATGAGAACAATCTACCCCAGTAGATTAAATAGAATTCAGTTAGAAATTCCCTGGAGGTGACCTGCATCAACAAGTACCTGAAGAATGTTGAAGGGTACAATGGCTGAAATGATAATAATAACAAAGATGAGGACAATAGGCTGAGTGTAATGTAAATAGTGTGAATCTGCCATGTATTTAGAGATTCTTGATAAAATACAAAGAAACATCTGCAATGTTATTGATCCTGACCTGGCATCTATTGGCCTCAGGATGATAGGATAATGTTTCATTCAAATCATGATGTATGGTATCTTTCAATTCAATAACTCCTGGCCATTTACTTCAAAGGAATATTTTTTTATTACAAGAAATTAGTTGCTTTTAGAATAAATATAACTGCACTTTAATAAAAAAAAAAAAAAAAAAATTGTATTCTCTCAGTATTGACCAGGGGAAACAGAGTGAGGAATCACTGAACAGTACTAAAAATAAGAACTAGACGAGATATCCCTAGATATGGGCAGGGAAACAGGAAAAAATCTACCATTGTAGATTAAATAAAGGTCTCAGTTTGGAATTCCCTGTAGGTTACTTGGATTGATATGCATCTGATAAAGACTGGGGGGTAAAATGGCTGAAACGTTGTGATAACATCAACCAAGATGATGACAAGAGTCTGAATATAAATAGTTTCTTTTAGAATAAATATAATGGCATTTTAATTAAAAGTTTTGTATTGTCCCATAAAATCTAACTGGTCATCTAGAACTATTGGCTCCAGGACAATGTTACTCTCAAGCCTTGACATATGGTATCTTTCAATGATGCTATCTCTTCTAACAACTGATGCCTATTCACTTTTGGGCTTTACTTCAAAGAAATATTTTTATTATAACAAATTAGTTGCTTTTAGAATAAATACAATAAAGTTTTAATTAAAACTTCTGTATTGTCCTAGCATCATTGTCAAAAAACTGACAAGTCATTACAAACTAATCTTTTAACATTCTCTGGATTACAGGGGGATGTTCCAGGTCTTGTATGATCATTGAAGTTAAGCAATATTGAGCCTGGTTAGTAACTAGATGGGTGACCTCTTGAGAATGCCAGGTGCACTAAGCTTGGGTAGTTAATGGATAACATCATGGAAATGGAAAGTTCCAATTCTAGTCAGGTTATATTCACTTACATACAAATACCCTTGTAAAATGTATGAATCCACTTTTCTCCCACCAGCTATGGGTTAATTAGTAGAACTTGTATCAGTCAGTCAGGTGCCATGTGTGATACATGCTTATGTGATCATGTATCTTTCAATAAATGTCTGATGAGGCAGATTTTTTCCCGTAGTAAGTTGCCATTTCTTTCTGCGGTAGACCAATTGTCATCCAAGGCTATAGAACCTGGTCTGTCCTGCTATTTACCCATAGCTGGGGAGAGAAGAAGAGGATTCATCTTCTTTCTCCACACACCAGGACTTGTATCAGTAAATCTTTATTATTTCTTCAAAATATTCTTACACTCTAAAAATACTTTTTGGCTTTAAATAACTTGCAAAAGGTTGATAAGCCATGAAAAAACAATCAGTACATGATGATGTTAATTTTAAGCCTTGTTTACTACTGAAGTTAACTGGTTGTTTTTAGTTAGTAATGGTCATCTCCTTGATTTAACATTTAATAAACTGTTTTCCCTCTAAAAATGTTGCAGTGACCTGAAAATGAGTTAAGAGTAAGCATGACAAGGCAAAACTTCCATATTTAGTGGCATAATCTTTTCCTTAGTGATTCAGGCAATATGTGGTTTTGCATTCTTGGATAAGAACAACACAGCTTTATGATTAATTAGTGATGGGTACTTTTTGTGCAGGAGTTCCAATTGACAACTCTACTTAATTGCATTAACTGCTTCAGCACTTCATAGTAGACAACATTTTTCATATCCTACCGAACACCGAGCATGACTACACCCAACAGCAAGGCCTTTGATCAGGAGATTAGAAATTTTGAAAAGCTTGAAACCCCCTTTTAATTGCTGTTGTTCCCAGGTCCACCCTGACCTGGGGTAGTAGCACCTTTTAGGGGTCCCAGTGATGACCAAATAGTGAACCCTCAAACAAAAACAAAACCCTATGAAAATATAAAAATATATTTTTATATTAAAAATACCAGCAATGCATTTTTATATAAAAAATTACCAACAATATGTATTTTAGTAAAATTACTAAGAATACATGAATCAACATGAAAAAATTATCCTGATATTAATCCATATAATATCCTACAATTTCTTAAATCAAATTTATTCTAAAATATAACTTCAGTAAAACTAGAGCATAAAACACATATATCATTGCCTCTAGTAATTATGCCCACACAAATATGTATATGCACAAAAGTCGAGTCTCATCTACCATGTATCCAGTTGCGAAAACAGAATAACATATTTTTATTACTTCAAAGCTCACAAGAAAATTAAATGACCCATAAGGAGTTGATATGCCATTAATCAAATTAATCTTTTTGGGGGCGTGGTCCTGTTTTGGGGATAGACTCTTCTTTTTTTGTGGCTGCTACCTATTATTGTTTTTGTTGTATATGGTTATAAAGAACCCACCTTTCCGTCACTGGTAATGATTCTACCCAGGAATGGTTCAGTAGTAAACCAACTCTTCAAGGATGAGCAGAGGAAATTTGATTTAGTTGAGAAGCATTCAGATGATGAATGATCCATGAACTGTGTAGACACATTTCTAAATTCCTTAAGGTATTTTATGTTTGAAGTATAACTTGTATTGAACTGTTTTGCTAATTTTCATGCAGTTAGCTTAGGATTTTTCTCACAAAAAGTTTTTTCAGAAGATCAGTATTGACAGAACTTTGTTGTCCAGATTGAAGAGAATCTTCAAGAGAAATATTTTTCCAACCATAAAAGGCCACCATTGTCATATGTGGATATTTAAAACTTAATTTCCATATACATAGAACAAATATGTCTTGTTGTTTCTGTTGCTGGAAAGCCCCTTTTGAATTTCTATAGAATACAATATCTGATATGAATCTGATCTAAACTTATAAAAGAGTAAAGCATTACAAAATTTATACATTCCCATATTAACATGTAAAAAAAGTTGTTATTTTTTTGTTTTGTTTTATGGCGTATCAACCTCTATGGGTTATTTAATGCTGACAAGATTTTTATTGCTGGTAATTTTTTTTCTTTTCAAAAATGTATTGCTGGTAATATTTTTTTTCTTCAAAAATCAACTCCTGGCAATATTTTTTCTTCAAAAATCTATTTCTTGCAATATTAATTTCTTTCAAAAATGTGTAGCTAGTAATTTTTTTTTTTTTTTTTTCAAGAATATATAGCTGATAATTTTTTTCCCAAAAATGTATAGCTGGTAATATTTTTTTTCCAAAAATGTATTGCTGGTAATTTTTTTTTTTTTTTTTTTTTAAATGTATTGCTGGTAATATTTTTTCTTCAAAAATCTATTTGTGGCAATATTTTTTCTTCAAAAATGTATTACTGGTAACATTTTTTCAAAAAATGTATAGTTCTAAATTTTTTTTTTTTTCAAATGTATTGCTGCTATATATATATATATATATATATATATATATATATATATATATATATATATATATATATATATATATTTATTTTTTTTTTTTTATTTTTTTTTTCAAAATGTATTGCTGTTAATGTATTGTTGGTAATGATTTTTTACAAAATATTTGTGGTATTAAAACCTATTTTTACACTTTCATAGTGTTTTGACCCCAGTTTGGGAGTTAACTATTTACCTATAGCTGGGACAGGGTGGACCTGGGAGAACCAGCAATTAAGAGGTGGTTACACACTCCTCAAAACCTCCTGATCAGAGGCCTTGCTATTTTATTGTCTTATCCAAGACACAAATGTAGTTTATCATCATACTCAGGATGGTATAAAGAAAGAAAAAACATCAAAATGTAAAGATGAAGGGTTATTTTACCATGCGTATTTCATCCTGGGTTTGACGATAAACTGATCTGGCAGCAAGGCCTCTGATCAGGAGATTTTGAGGAATATGAAAACATCTCTTAATTGCTGTTGTTCCCAAGCCCACCATTATCTGGGGTGGTAGCACCTGTTAGGGTCCCAGTTATGGGCAAATAGTGAACCCCCAAACAAAAATCAACAGTACATTTTTATAGTAAAATTACCACTTATTATCTACAAAATATATAGCTAAAAAACATACCTTTACTCTGAAAGTATAAAATAATTTACAAAATATCTGTAGTTGAAAGCATAAAATTATATACAAAATATTTACATTTTGGCATAGAGGTTGATGTGCTACCAAACAAAATCAAAGAAACCATTAAAGAACTCTTTCATGACATTAATCCATATTATATCCTACAATTTCTTAAAGAAATAAAACTG